CCATGGGGCTCTGACCCCCCTTTGGGAACAGACGTACCCACTACAGGGTGAGGGTAAGAAGCTGACGCTAAGCCAGAATGGAGCTGGATTGTGAGATTATATTCGCGCTCTGATTTACGAGGGGGCACGCATTCCCTCGTGGTAAAGGAAGTCCTGAGTCCTGGCCCCACTTGGCATGTGACTTGGGATGGATCCAGGGCTCTCGTTGCTGGATTAACCAGCCCCGAGCAAACAGGCCAGCCTGGAGGAGGTGGCCGGTTCCAGGAAAGGGATCAGGCAGTGCGGGCAGGACGAGTGTCTAGTGCTGAGACTGGAGCTGGGCCCTGGGGTGTGTGCCTTGGGGCTGCTTCGGCTGGCTGGCCCGGTGGCTCGGAGCTGGGGAGAGTTTAAGCTAAAGAACATCTTCTCTTTTATTCCCAGGGACACATGGAAGCCACCTGCCCACTAGCCGAGGATCGGCTAAGCCCTGGGACTAATGCTTGCCCATGCTGCTGAGAATGGCACGGTCGCCCAACCAGGCACCAGGACAAAGGTGAACCCAGGACACTCTTGGACAGCGATCCTGATGTCTGTGCTGAGCTGCGCACTGAAGGGTGTGATAAGTGAGTGTGTTACAGGCTCCCCGGGGAGAGCCAGCCCTCGCGGCCTCGGCAGGGTGGAACCAGGTCAGGAAGTCCTGGCCTGAGCCTGCGTTCCGACCCAGGGCCTGCCAGGGCCCCCGTAACCCCTGTCCGGGGCCCCCTTCTGGAATTGTGCATTAAGAAGTAGTCCCAGAGGAGAAGAGGGCGGGAATGGGCGGGCAGGGCCCAGCAGTGTCAGGCCACGTCCCTTGCTGGAGTCAGGGCCTCTAAAAACGGGGCCAGACTCAGAGGCGACGTGAGTGGCATGAGACACCCAGCACCCGGGAGACGCATCTTCCCAACCCTCCTTGTCTGTAGGCTCACGGATGCTTTGAGCCTTGGGCTCCACTTCTGTCAATAGGAACTCTGCCTCCCCTGGGACTTGGACTCTGCCCAGATGCCACGGTCAGTTTCTGTGACTCGGGTAGAGCATCCGGGGCACTTGGGAGGTGAGGGATTTGTGGCACCTGAGCTGCCATAAAACTGGCCATTGGGGCGTCTGCTGCTTTTGTCCCATTACCTGTGTCTCCTTGTCGGTCCAGATAAGCTTCGTGCAGGGTTAGGGGCCCCCAACTACGGAGCATCGCCTGTCCTCACGTGGCCTTTGCTTCCCAGCCTTGGCCTCTGGCTTTTCCTGGATGATGTTTTTAAATATGACCATTGTCAGCATTTCCAAGCCCCAGAGGCCTGAAGGCTGTTCTGTGTGTGGGGCCAGGGACCAGCAGGCAGAGAGCCCCCCTGGAAGGCAGGGCAGGGAGAGGGGGTGCTTTTGCACACCTGACGACAAGCGTTCAGGAGCAGCTGGGCTGGTCCATGGGAGCCGGAGCCTTCGGGTCCACGGAGGAGCTTGCAGGAGGGAAGAGAGTAACCAGGTATTTCTCAGCTTTAGGTGGAGCTTGACTCTCCTGCCAGCTGAGAGTATACTCAGGGCTAGAATCTGTGTTCACTGAGTTGGGACTTGCAAAGCCAGTTTGTGCTAGGAGGGTCTTTCCGGAAGCGTGCTCTTGGGTTGCTTTGTGGCCCGCGTGTTGTGAGTGTGTCTGGACCGTGGGAGTGGCGGGGGGTGGAGAGAGGCCCATGGAGGCCGCTGTGGGAATGCGGTGACTCACTCAGGAGACCTCTTACCCACATAACACAGACTTCCCCAGAGCAGTCTACATCACCGGCCTTAAAACTGTGGTGCCCTCTGTCCAGTGAGCCCACTTCTGGAATTACTCATTAACAGATAGTCCTAGAGAAGAAAAGGGCTGAATTGTTATTTTACAGGCATAAAACAAGATGTTTCTTTGGTGTCGGGGTAACAGTGGAAATGGGAAACAGTTGTTCTCCCTTTGTTGAACATCTGTGTTAAGCAAATTATAGTTTTCTACTTGTGGAATATTACACAGCCATTATAATAATGAGCACATAGGCAACACACCAATTTGGAAAAACAGTTTATGATATAAGAAGTGCTAATATCAGGTTACAGAATAAGTACATTCGGGTAACTTGTAAAATAAACTTGTGAGAAAAGATTGCAAAGAGGAAATGATAATGGCTGCTAGTTTGGTGGAATTGTGAATGCCTTTTCTTCCTAAGATGCCTGGATTTTCTCTTAAAACAAACTTTAATCTGGATGAATACACAACCCACCGTTAATGGTGACTTTCTCTACGATGTGGGGCGATGGGGGACTTTGCTTTCTAAGCCATTCCTTTCTGTAATGTTTAAATTTCAAATGTGAGCATGTTATATTTGTAATCAGAAAAAAATAAAAAAGATATTTTAAAATGATAGAATTGAAATTTTAAAAAACAGGAGAAAGAGGAGAATAGAAAGGTTAAGCTGGCTAGCTGTTTATATCTGCCCTCATCAGTGTTTAAGGGGCCGTGCCTGCTTGGGCTCATTGATTCATTCATTCTATAGGCAGTAGTGGGTCTTGTTGCCAGGCACTGTCCTAGGCACTGGACAGAGCCCCTATCCTGATGGAGCTTTTTCTCTAATTGTGTGTGGGGGTAAGACAATGAACAAGTAGCAAAATATCAGACTGTGAGAGTGCTGTGAAGAAAATGAAATGGGGTGATGTGAGTGACAGGGAGGCGAGTTTGGATCGGAGATCAGAGGTCTGAGGGGTGACCGTTGACCTGAGATCTAAATGACAACAGGGAGGCAGCCACATGAGGTCTGGGAGAGCCTTGCCAGCCATGCAGGGTGCCCAGCCTACAGGCCCATCCGTGAGTGCCCTTTGTTGCTTGAGCCCTGTAGAACCTCTGTGTCAGGGCTGACGGTCCCTCAAGCCCACTTCCCCCCTGTGCCTGCCCACTGGGATTTGCTTAGTATCTGAGACCCTCCCCTGCTTGCTGGCCTGTGTGGAACGGTTGCCCCTGACACTCTGGCAGCTGTTGGTCCAGGCACAGGGCTTCCCTGGCCAGCCTGCACGTTGGCCACTGCTCCTAGCGGGCAGGGCTGGGCCATCTGAGATTCCCAGCAGTATCGGGGCAGCTGGCAGTTGGGGAGGCTGCAGGTAATGCGTGTCCTGGTAGGGGATCTTTGAATGGCACATGCCTTGAGGCCCTGAGAGGTGGCTGCCCTGGTCCTGAGAGGATCAGCTTGTGACCCTGGAGGACCTTTGTGCAGATCCTGCCAGACCTTGGCCTCAGAACAGAACATGGCCTCCCACAACAGTCTGAAAGCCTTGGTAGCTCTGACGCCCGTTCTGAGCTTCACTTAAATCTCATACCCCACAATCTCATATCCTTCTTGTTTCCTGGTGTCTCTCCATATATCGTCCAGCTTTCCAGAAGCAGAAACTTGGAAAATGGCAGTGCCCTCATAGGAGCCTGTAGTCAGCTTCGAGCACTGCAGTGTGCTGAGGGGACTGAAGGCTCTGGAGCTGGGCTCAAGTCCCACCTCTGCCTTGTACAGCTGTAAGAACTTAGGCTAATTATTTAGTCTTTCTCTGCCTCAATTTCCCCATCTGTAAAATGGGCTTGAAGAATATCAGAGTTAATACATGGAAAGTGCTGAGAAGAATGCCTGATTATTAATATTACTAGAGGCCTGGTGCACGAAATTCATGCACGGGTAGGGTCCCTAGGCCTGGCCGGCGATCAGGGTCAATTGGGGCCTGCCAGCTCCTGGCCAGGGCCTCCCTTCCCTGGCTGCCAGCTGCTGGCCGCCAGTAGGGGCCAGCCTTCCCTGGCCGCCGGCTGGGGCCTTTCTTCATTCTGCACTGCACCTAGTGCTCAGCGCATGTCATAGCGAGTGATAGAACTCCGGTCGAACTCCCATGGGGACACTTTGCATATTAGCCTTATATATACATAGAAGATTGTGACTGAGAGGTGGAGGGAGGACCATCCCAGGGGACTTTCCTAGGGGATGCCCACAGCAAGAGAGGTGGAACTCTGGCATCTGGGCCAGCCAGTGACCTCAGGTGTCTTTCCCCACTTGCTTCCCTTCTGGTCCAGAAGCAAGCTCATGTTGTCCCCTCCCCCCCAACTTGATAACCACAGGGGAAGCTCAAGATGCACCCAGATGCCCAGATGCAAGGGTAGCTCATGGATCCCACTCACCTGCAGTACAGGCTCTGTCAGGGGCCTGGGCTCACGGTCACTCATGCCCCCCCCGCACTGTCTTGCCCTCAGGGCTGTGCCCCACCGCATCTCCCCAGAGCATAAAACTGTAGCGATTTGTGTACCTGGGGATGGGGAGTGAAATTTGGGAAGTAGATGGGGTGAAAGAGGAAGGCTTACTTGGCCTGGCTACATGGAGGGGAAGCCCAGTTTTCTAACAGGGTGCCCCTTTGGACCTTGAGTCATTGTGTGTGGCCCCTCAGCTTCCTGGAACAAGATGGGAGTTTTTGGCAAAACCGAGGACAGTCATCTCATCTGGTTTTGCTTCCAGCCTGCCTTGGGCTTTTGTGCATTCTCTTCTCTCCTCTCAGCTGCTAGCTCTGCTCTCCAGTGCCCTGAGGAATAGCTCAGCAGGCCCTGAGAGCAGCGGGGAGACAGTCCGCGGGAGCAGGGCTCTCGAGGCAGCCCTCTCCCCTCCCGTCACCCGTCCCTGGAGGAGCTGTGTGCTGCCGGGAAAGTCCTTGAGTCCTGGCCCTTTGCTGGAACTCAGTGTTCCCAGCCCCATTGACCAACAGGTTTGAGGAGTTTCATCGACTCTTGTACTTACTCGAGTGCTGTTCCCCCAAATCTCTCTTGTGAGACTGTCCACACTCTTTTCCTGCCTTCAGTCTGGCCCACACTCTCCTCTCCACCCTAAACGTTCTGGCCCGGGCTGTTCCATTTCTGTGTCCTGGTTCTCAGGATGGTGTGTTTGTCACCAGGAGAAAGCGGCCAGCATCCAGCGTGCCCAGTGCACTGCGGGCTCTTCCGGATCTGTTTCTTCCCAGGGCTCCGATCCCAGGGCTGAGCGAGGAGGTACGGGAAGGGGCCGGGGCAAAGGCTCAGGTGGGTGGAGGCCAGGCAGGGATAGGCACCTGTTGGACCTAGCCGAGGGTGGGCGAGCTCCGGGGAAGCAACGGCACCTGTGGTTATTGGACATGGGTTTGGGGAGTGGAGTTCTGAAAATCCACCTGAGACACTGCCTGCCTCTAACCTTAGTGTCTGTCCTACCACAGTGTCTGTCCCATCCCAGCTGACGACACTGTCTTACCTCGAGGTTCCCTGTCTTCACCCCCATCTCCTGGCCCCAGCCAGGACTTCCGGGTTCTCCCATTTATCTTGCATGAACCAGGCGAGTTCTCTGGCACGGGCACCTCAGATGCGGTCTGGCCTTGCTTAGATATGCTTCCCCTCCACCAACCCCCGTTCTTCCAGGCACAGAAGATTCCAGAAACAGAACCCAGGCCTCTGGCATCCTGTTCTCTCGCTCGTCCTCTCTTCTGTTCAGCGGCTTGCCCTCTCTCTCCCTGTGACAGCTCTCTCTCTCTTTATTCTTCTTCTGCTCGTAAGGCTTCCAAGCCGCCTGCTCCGGGGCCACTGGAGCTTTTGATTTGTTACCGACCGGGAGCGCATTCTTGGCTGTCCCAGGTGAGGCCAACCAGCAAAGCGAGCAGGATTTAAAAACCAGCATCCAGGTGGGAGCCGACTTGAGCGATGACCGCAGCTGTGTGCTTGGCTGAGTAGGAAGCCCCTTCCCGGATCCTGTGGGATGGAGGAGCCTGGGGTTCAAGTGCAGGTCGGTGGACAGACCTGAGTTCAGAGGTGGGAGTCGGGCGGGAGACAGTGGTCTGTTGGGAGCTCAGGATAAAGTGAGGGTGTGAGAAGCTGTGCCCCTTTCTCCAGCCTGGCCTTCTGAGCACTGG